ACTCCGCTGAAGGTCACTCTGGCGAGGTTGTATCAGGAGAACAAGGACAAGTTTCATCCACCACTGCCAATTAGACAACCCCTCGAACAGAGGGATCAAACTAAACATTGTGCTTTTCATTCTGATTTCGGACATCAGACTAACGAATGCAGGAACCTGAGGAGGCAAGTGGAGATGTTGATAGCTAGAGGGGAGTTTGCGAGTTATGTTCAAGGCTCGGCGATGGAGCAGAATCGACCAGTGGAACAAATAAAAAGGAGTCATAAACAAAGCTCCCACAATTCGCAACCAGTTCGTATAATCAATGCTATCCATGGTCGACCCGAGCCTAGTGAAGAGCCAGATGAGCTGCTACGGGTGCGCCTGCGGCAGGCGCAGATGAAGAAAAGGGTCGGCAATGTGACCACTCTACACCAACAGAGCCCGTCAATGCAGATAAAGTTCGACTGGACAGACCTGCAGCGTGTTCAACTGCCTCATGACGACCCGTTGGTAGTCAGTTTGACAGTGGCAGAGTGCTTGGTGCGCAGAGTTCTGATCGATCCTGGAAGCAGTGCGAATGTTATGCCGAGGGACACATTTGACAGGCTCGACATTAAACCAGAGAGGCTCAAGCCCACCGGAAATCCCTTATTAGGGTTCGATGGGAAGAGGGTGGAACCCGTCGGGATGGTGGAAGTAGAAGTTCAAGCTGCAGAGCGAGCTCTTATGGAAACTTTTGTGGTTGTGGAAATTCACCCCTCGTATAATCTCCTGATGGGAAGAGGATGGATTCACAGAGTCCGAGGTGTACCCTCAACTCTGCATCAGGTCATGAGGTGCCTCGGGCCCGATGGAGATAAAGTGATAGACATTCGGGGGGATCAGGTCGCAGCCAAAGAGTGTTATTCCGTCACACTAAAGCATGCAAGGAAGGGAAAGGCGCCCGTCCGGTCGACAAGCCCCAGATAGCAATTACAGGAACCTCCACTCGAGCAGAATAGGGTGGAGGAGTCAGCCGACTTGACCGAGGAGCCCCTTCTGGATGTGCAGATCGATCAGTCCAGGCCAGAACGAACTACCAGAGTGGGTATAAGACTGACCAGAGAAGAGCAGCAAGAGCTAGTGGATTTCTTATCCCACAATGTCGACGTATTTGCATGGAGTCACCTCGACATGCCTGGAATTAGTCCTTCCGTCTCCTGTCATTCCCTGAATGTCAATCCTAATTTCAAACCAGTGAAACAGAAGCAGCGAAGATTTGCTCCAGAACGTAATCAGATCATAACGGAAGAAGTTGATAGGCTGCTTGATGCGGGATTTATCAGAGAGGTGCACTACCCTGAGTGGTTGTCCAACGTCGTTGTGGTGCAGAAGAAAAATGGGAAATGGCGCGTATGCATTGATTTCACCAATTTAAACAAAGCCTGCCCGAAGGACAGTTTCCCGTTGCCTAAGATTGATCAAATGGTGGATGCCACCACGGGGTATGAGCGTTTAACCTTTCTGGACGCATATTCAGGTTATAATCAGATTCCTATGGACCCCGCAGATGAAGAAAAAACTTCTTTTGTCACCGAGCGAGGAACATACTGCTACAAGGTTATGCCTTTTGGATTAAAGAATGCGGGAGCAACTTATCAACGACTTGTCAGCAAAGTTTTTAAGAATCAAATGGGTAAGATTGTCGAAGCCTATATTGATGATATGGTGGTGAAAAGTAGGAAAAAGGATGATCATCTGAAGCATCTGCAAGAGGTATTTGATGTACTAAAGCGATATGGGATGAGGCTCAATCCGACCAAGTGCTCGTTCGGTGTGAGTTCCGGGCAGTTTCTGGGACACGTGGTCAACCGCAGGGGCATCGAAGTTAGCCCCGCTCAAGCAGAGGCTTTGATTAAGAATGCCGAGCCAAAGACGATCAGAGAGGTGCAAGCCCTAACAGGACGAATAGCTGCATTAAGTCGATTTATTTCAAAGTTGTCAGACCACTGCAAACCATTCTTTGACACGATTCGGAGCCATGGAAGGCAGGTCTGGGGGGATGAGCAACGACAGGCATTGACTCATTTGAAGCAATATATGCAGAATCCGCCAGTCCTGTCAGCCCCAGAACCGGAAGAAAAGTTATTTCTATATCTTGGAGTATCTGGTGTCGCGACGAGTGCCGTTCTGATTCGTTGCAAGGAAGGGGTGCAATACCCAGTATTTTATGTAAGCAAAACACTGATGGAGGCAGAAAAAAGATACTCAAAGGCCGAACGGGTGGTACTTGCACTTGTAAATGCAAAAAGAAAGTTAAGGCATTATTTTGAATCCCACCCCATAGCTGTTCTAACAACTTTCCCAATCAGAACGCTCATGCACAAGCCAGAGCTCTCGGGAAGAATGACAAAGTGGGCCATAGAGTTGAGTTCATTTGACATAACGTACGAGCCGAGAACAGCTATTAAAGGGCAAGCGGTGGCCGATTTCCTACTAGAATGTGATGCCGAAGATACGGAAGAGGACCTTAGAAGCGGCTCTTGGAAACTTTTTGTGGATGGCTCCTCTAACCAGACGGGGGCTGGGATTGGGATCAAACTGCAAACCCCAGAGGGTACTTCCTTGAGCCAAGCACTCAGACTTGAGTTCCGAGCCACCAATAATGAAGCGGAATACGAGGCGTTGCTAAATGGATTAAAGTTGGCCAAAGAGCTACAGATCAAAAGTTTGACAGTGTATAGTGACTCGCAGCTGATTGTTCGGCAGGTAAATGATGAGTACGCAACCAAGGATGACATGATGGGGGCATACCGTTCTGCCGTTCTGCGTAGAGCCAAGGACTTTGCAAAGATTGAATTCATACAGTTGCCGAGGGAACAGAATGCAGATGCAGACCGTTTAGCATGCAGTGCTTCAAGTTGCGGTGAAACATTGGCGAGGGTGATTCCAGTGGGAATAGTGACCCAGCCGTCCATTTTCGAAGAACCGATGGTCTCGGACCCTTGGCAAGTCAACGTCATACCGTATGAACCGAGTTGGATTGATCCAATCATTACCTATATTCGAGATGGCGTTTTGCCTATGCAAAGGGATGAAGCTAGGAAACTCAAAAAGAATGCTGCCAAGTACGCCATCGTGCGGAACCAGCTGTACAGAAGGTCCTATTCTGGCCCGTACTTGAAATGTGTCACCCCCGCGGAGTCGCAGCAGGTATTGCGAGCTATTCATGAGGGTGTGTGTGGCAATCATTCTGGGGGAAGATCGTTAGCGCATAAAGCAATGACACAAGGGTATTTTTGGCCAAACATGTCAAGAGATGCGGAGGAGTTCTCTCGAAGGTGCGATAAGTGCCAACGATATGGACCAATGATCCACCAACCACCTGAAGAATTGCACGTAATGGCCTCGCCGTGGCCTTTCGCGCAATGGGGGATGGATGTGGTCGGTCCTCTGCCAACTGCAAGAGCTCAGAACAAGTATGTGTTACTGGCCACGGATTATTTCACTAAATGGGTGGAGGCAGAACCGTATCCTAGCGTGACTCAGACTCAGGTGAGACGATTTATCTGGAACAACATTATCTGCCGCTTCGGTGTTCCCAGAACAATAGTCATGGACAATGGCACAAACCTCGACAGCAGGCAAGTAAGAAAGCTGCTGGAGGAGTATGGAATCAACCAGAAGTTGGCTGCAGTAAGTCATCCTCAGGCTAACGGACAAGCAGAAATCACAAACAGAACCATTTTCGCCTGCATTAAGAAGAAGCTGGAAGATCATAAGGGGAAGTGGTTGGATGAACTCCCGAACGTTCTATGGGCTTACAGAACCACCCCAAGGCGGCCGACTGGGGAGAGCCCGTTCGCGATGGCGTATGGTACCGAAGCAGTTATACCGGTTGAGCATTTAGTCCCCACTATCAGAAGCTTAGCATGGAGTCGAGATCAGAACGACAAGATGTTAAGATTGAACCTCGACATGATAGACGAAAGGAGGGACGCAGCGGCTATAAGGCTAGCATCGTATCAGCAAGTGCTGGCGAATAGTCACAATAAGAGAGTAAAACACAGGGATTTTGCCCCGGGCGATCTGGTTCTGAAAAGAAAGGTGGGGATGGTCAAAAAGATGATGCCACCCTGGGAAGGCCCATACAGAATTGCAGAAGTCATTGGCAAAGGGGCATATACGTTGGAAACCATGGCGGGAAAGTTGGTCAGCAAGCCCTGGAACGCCACGTCTCTGAAGAGGTACTATCAATAGAAGCTAAGTTCTGGTTTTAATTGGATGTTATTTGTTGTCAATCAAATACATATGAATGAGCAAGTTACCGGAATTTACAAAAAAAAGAAGAGAAGAATTTTCTTTTCCAATGGTCTACTATAAAAATTTAAAGCCAAGTGGCAAGTGGCATTCTAGCCGAGCGCCAGGCACTTAAGCAAGATAAGTGGCAGCTAGCACTATAAGCCGAACGCCAGACACTTGCTAAAAATTTAAAGCCAAGTGGCAAGTGGCATTCTAGCCGAGCGCCAGGCACTTAAGCAAGATAAGTGGCAGCTGGTACTATAAGCCGAACGCCAGACACTTGCTAAAAATTGAAAGCCAAGTGGCAAGTGGCATTCTAGCCGAGCGCCAGGCACTTAAGCAAGATAAGTGGCAGCTGGCACTATAAGCCGAACGCCAGACACTTGCTAAAAATTTAAAGCCAAGTGGCAAGTGGCATTCTAGCCGAGCGCCAGGCACTTAAGCAAGATAAGTGGCAGCTGGCACTATAAGCCGAACGCCAGACACTTGCTAAAAATTTAAAGCCAAGTGGCAAGTGGCATTCTAGCCGAGCGCCAGGCACTTAAGCAAGATAAGTGGCAGCTGGCACTATAAGCCGAACGCCAGACACTTGCTAAAAATTTAAAGCCAAGTGGCAAGTGGCATTCTAGCCGAGCGCCAGGCACTTGCCGTACAAACACACAGCAAAGCTAATATAAAAAGAAAAAGAGAGAAAAGATATATATGTACTGAAGATAAGTTGAACAGAGCACAACACATAGAGAAAAAGAGTTCGGCCATTTCATTAATATTGAACATTTAGTTTACAAAAGAGGGGTGTCCATCATTACAAGAAGATATGAACTGGAAGAATTCGAAGGAGCCCTAGCTAGACGCCTCAGTACCAACAGCATCCTGGTCCTGCCGACTCGCCTCCTCGGCCCCATCAGCCGCCTCACCTTCATGAGGTGGGGAATCCAGGTGAATAACTGAGTCGTTCGGCTGGGGTTCAGCGTCAGCAGTGGCTACAGAGGGAGCCACGGTTGACGATTGGGGAGCGGTCAGTGGCAGAGCGGTAGGAGGAGCTGTGATGATCCTTGAGGATGCGATGTCCTGGCACTCATCAAATATACGCTCCGCTTCGGTGGGTTCTGGGTCGACATAGACCCCCAGAGGCTCGATCCCCAGATCCTTGTCTACCTCATCCGGAGTGGAGCTGGTCTGTCCCTCATCCGGAACCCGGTCGGCGAAACCTTCCCGGAATCCTTGAGCATACCGAAGAGCACCGACCCTGGAGAACCGAGCATGAAGGGCCAGCATCCCACCACCCACTCTGCTGATAGCGTCGATCAGAGCGGTACGCTCGTCCAGAGCTCTTTTTTCAAAAGCCATCCGAGCAGACTGTTCATCAGCTAGAAGACGTTGGAGTTCTGCCTTCTCTTCTCTGAGTGATTCCTGCTCAGTCTGCCAGACGCTCTTCTCGAGCTGGAGGGCGTCCTTCTCATCCTGAAGGGAATCATTCTCCTTTTTCAGGACATCTCTCTCTTGCTCGGCTTTGTCAAGCCGAACCAGCACCTCGGTATTCTTCATGGCAAGGAGGTCGTTCTCTTTATTAGCCACCTCCAGGCTGTCAGAATACTTCCGGGCCCTGGCGTTCCCCATTTCCACCTGCTTCTGCATGGCCATCATCCCGAACAATGTCTGCATAGGTGCACAATAAGAACGGTTAAACCAATAGTCAGAACGGGCGAAGGCAAGACCAAGTAATATAAGAGAATTCATGAGTTAGAAAATAAAAGTCACCTCCATAGCAGATTGGGGAAAGCGACTGAACACGTCCTTCTGGGAAAGGCCCTTTGCCGCCTCAATGTCCTTCGGAGTCCACATGCTCCTGTAGTAGGCCATAGCGGTCTGGCCATCCTTCAGCATGGTCTCGTTCGGTTTCACGAACGTCCCATCCGTTCGAGTGTACCGAGGGGCCCATGGCGGCAAGCTGGGGATAGAAGGGGGGCCTGAAGCAGAAGCAGAGCCACCAGCTGCAGGAGGCCCAGAGTGAGAAGGAGCTCTGATCGCTCGGTGCAAGAGAGTACCCGGCCCAGAGACTCGGGTCCTTCTAATAAGAGGCTCCTCCTCAGGGTCGATTTCACTGTCAGGATGAGGCCTTTTGCCTCGCTCTTTGTCCCGACCGCCCCCCGCAGCAGCAGGAGCTATGGTAGCTGGGGAGGGCGCGTTCTGGTTGGCCGCAGGGGCGCTGGCAGCAGGGTTAGTAGCCACTGCGCTCGGGACAGTGTCAGATATGGTGGCTGAAGAAGAAGCCGACGCTGGAGAGGAGGTCGCCCCAGCAGCAGGAATGACTGGGGGAGTATTTTTCCTCCTGCCAAAAGAGGGAATCTGCAGTCTGCTCATATTGTAGCCGAGTGATGAGAGCGCAAAGAGGTTGTCTGAAGTGAGGAGATCTGAGCAGGAAGGAATATCGTTCAGAACGTATCTCTTCAAGTAGTTAATCCTATCCCTGCAAACACTGTAGCTCAAGTCATCACAAGGTATTCCCAAGGAGCGGCATAAGTAAGTGCAAAAACGAGGAACGCATGTTTCACAGGGGCAGTCGTGTTTATGGGATTTGAATTTTTTATAGGAGGAGACAGAGCAGACACCAAAGGCGCTCGGGATTGGGTAATCCTCTGCAGCCGGCGAAGACCAAGCCCCACTAATACCCACTATGCTATCCCTCCAACCCTTTTCAGATTTTATTGTGTCAGTGCATATGGACATCTTCTCGAACGGGTAGAGGTGGTAGAAGGGCTCGTTAGTACGGATCTTACTGACCTTATAGCACAGAAGGAGGTCTATGAGGTCAAGGTCCAGATTTCTGTCACGCATCAATAAGAGCATAACAGATATGATCCTAAAGAAGTTGGGGTTGACCTGCAGAGGGGATATCCCCAATCTGTTGAAGACGTAACTAAAGAAAGGGTGCAGAGGGAACCTAACAACATTCAGTTGAAGGTTTGTGAATAAGACTTCGCCGGGCAGGAGGCCGGCGCCGGTCGTAATATTAACGTCTTGGGGGCAAACCCTAACTACGATGTTGTCAGAAAGTCTAAGTCTCATACGAAGAACACCCAGATCTACAACCATGGTGGAAGTGCAAGAAGAATCTAAAAGAGGGAAAATGGAAGCCTGCCGAAAGTAAAAAGAACGAAACTAACCTCGGAGGACTGCAAGATCGCTGGGAGAATGACTCTCGAAGGATTTCACCGGAAAAGGCTTAGCACAGTTCTAGAAAGAGGGAGATTTGGCTGATGATGGAGACGGTAAAGGGAAGTGAAGTGGAATTCTAGAGCATTATATAGGCAAGGGGGCCCGAGGGCCGAAGCGTCGGGAAGGCAAGAAATCCCTCGAACCCCGGAACATTGATTCTGGATCTGACCGTTCGCTCCCCCACGTGGTTATCTCGAGCCGTCAGCGTCATGATGAAACGCCATCAATAATTACCCCTTATTAAATAAGGGGCAATTATGGGGGCAGTTGAGGAGGCCCTGGATGACATGGGCCAGGTCCGACTCGCAAAACACAACCTTCAGTCCGAACAGTTGGGTCAGCCCATAGAAAGACACTGCCATATGGGCCGAGCGGGAGTAAGCCCATCAAGAGTGACCAGGGCTTACTGAGGAATAGGCCCAGGTCCAGCAATTAGTAAATATCTTGTAAATATCTTGTAAATATCTGGTAAGTATCTATAAATAGGAGTTGGAATGAAGAGGAGGGGGATCTTGATTCGGGTTGAGGTGTAAGAATTCTAGAGAGAGAAAGAATAGAAGGAGTTTCTTGCATCTTCAATTTTCTTTCCCGATATTAAAAACCAAGTAAGGCAATCCAAGCAAATTTAAAATTTTAACATTTTATATTTTCTTTTAACCAATTATTGTGAGGTTGTCACCCAAAATACCTAATTAAAAGGATTGACGCCATTGTTAAATAAATTTAATCAAAGGACATTCATCAAACTATATTGCGGTTTAGTAGTCATATGATCCCAGTGCGCCTTAAATCGTATACAAGCAACGTCTCATCCGTGAACGTATGAGTTCCATGACTATTATGCAGACAAAATGTCAGATTCATATGAAAAATACAAATCATATGATTATATGCCATATTGGATGAATGAAGGTTACATGAATTTGTATTGTAAAATGAAAGTTGTGCCTGGATAAAAAATTAAAAGCACAACTCCACCCACCAATAAAATGATACAATTACTGTCAAAATGGTCAATATAATTTTTTTTTGGAGAATAATTAAATAAAAAAAATTATACATAAAAATTGGGATATTGGAGCAAACTGGATAAGTAAAACATAATCTAATATGTCGAGTCAGATGTTTTGTTTTTAGAGTGATTGAAAAGTACCATCCTTGTAACCAGCATCGCAGTTTCTTATCCGCAGATAAGAGCTGAAAAGGCTCCATAGATAGTTAGAATGTTATGTACTATATATCACATAACTTGTGATCCTGTATTCTTTTTTGGAAGGTAGGTTAGCTTTATATATAAATAGAAACAAGATTTACAACCCAATTGCAATGGAGGCCCACGATCATGGACTAGCCCAACAAAACAGTAAAAATTACAAACAAGGATAAACAAAAGAATTGGACACCAGGCCCAGGCCCAACAATATAAACTAAGACATTATTAGTCTGGGAACGCCATATCAAAACATTCGGTGAGAGTCGCAGCTAGGGCTGCTCGAGTTTTAAGCAGTAAAAGGCTCCAAAATATTATAGTTGCCTTGTATATAATATATATATGGTAATTGTTTCCTAATTTAACACTAATTTTAAAGAATTTATCTCTTAATTATTTTATTTTTTTTTTTCAAGAGAGAAATTATTTGTCTCCTAAATTATCTCTTTCTGATTTTTTTCCTCCTAAAATATCTTCCTTTTTTTTTTTTCACAAGTTCTCTCTCCTTCTCATTCACACAGTTGTTTAGTAAAACAAACCCTAATCATTACACACACATATTAGCCCAAATATTTATATTCTTAAATAATATATTTTTTCTTTGTCTATCTTCTTATACACTTTTTTTATACACGTTATTTTTACACTAGGAAAACTTTCCATATTCTCTTTTTTTTTTTTAGATTTTTATTTTATTTTATTTATTTTTCTTTTTCTTTTCTTATTCCTAATCTTCACGTTCATTCTCTCCTCTCTCAGCAAACTCAACAAATTACAAGTCATCTCCCTTCTCAATCTTTCTCATTACAACTTTACAATTTTCTTTCTTTTCGACTTAATATTTATTTATTTTATTGAACAATTTGCAACAGCATTGAATTGGGATTTTCTAAATCTGGTTATATTTTTTTTTTCTTTAATTATTTTTTTGTTTTACTAACTTTTTATTATAAATTTGTATATATCTATATTTGCTTGTGAGTTGTGAGTCTTGTGACTATTTCTACCCATATTTTTTAAAACAACAATTTTATTTTTATTTTATATTTTATTTTATTTTTTTGGCTAAGGTCCCGAGTTACATGGAGCCGTCCCTGTACATGGCTCGATCAGGAGGTTCAGGCGAATGAATGCCAGCAAGTCCCAGTGTAATTTCATTCTTCTGGCAAGCGGAGAGTCTTTGACAGATGAGGTAAGCAATTTTTCCCGAATCAAGGCAGTTATCTCCCTGAAGACAGTCATTTGTGAAGATTTTCGTTGTTGAAGATCCGATTGTTGCACTCGAGCCAAATTTTGTTGATTGTTGTGGAAAGCAGAAGTTTGTTCACCGATGAGCCCAAATCCCTCCTTGGCCATCTAGTTGAATCTCTGTCAACAAGCTCAGTCCAAGAGGATGGGGAGAGATGAAATCTTCCTTTGTGCTGCAGTGATAGCCATATTGGCCTTGTAAAAGAGCACGCAAAGAACAGATGGTTATGGGATTCCTCAACCAAGTTGCAGAGTGGACACGTTCTGGAGCCTTGGAATGATCTCATGCAACTGCGATCCAGAGTAGGCAACCTGTTCTGAACAGCAAGCCACAGAGAAAATTGCGTCTTGGGATCGAGAAATAACTCCAAATAAGGTGAGTCCATGATTTTTGTTGCTGTTGTGTTGATAACCAATCAATGGTGTGACTGATTGAGAATGAACCTGTAGGTGAAGGCGCCCATACAGAGGAATCAACAGTCATGCTTGGAGGGTCGATACTAGCTAATTTCGAAAAGAGATTGATTATTGACTGTCAAAAGAGCCACCGTCCCTCCCCATGAATAAATGCAGACAAGTTTTGGTCAGGTAAGATGAATGAGCTGGTGATGAAGCTTAGGGCTAAGGGACCATCTCGTAGCCAAAAATCATCCCAAAAGTAGATTGTACATCCATTCCCAACCTTCCATCTGATCATAGACCTCGCCAACCCCTCAGGTGGAGCAGTTTCTTCCGGTTTGGATCGAAACTACCCTTTTATTTGACTATCATTATTTTTTATTATTTTGGATGACGTTGGAACATTTGTAATTACCCGCCGTATTTTATCCTTAGTTGACAAGGGTGAGAAGGAAAATCACTGCCCCTGATATTTCTAGTTGACATCAATATTTAATTTCATGATATATTTTCTGCATTTTTCTAGTTGACTGTTGACATACAAATATTTTCAAATTTCCGATACTTACTGTATGAGTTCCATGACAAAAATGTTAGATTCATATGATAAATACAAATAATATTATTATGTGAATCATTAGATGCATGACGGATACATGAATTTGTATTAGATGGATACAAATCATGTGATTAGGTGGGTGAGGATACAAACAAATCATTCCAACATTGCGCAACTCATAAAAGGTATTAGGAATGCATACATTTACAATTACATATTTACATCCACTTGTTATTTTCACTTTATTAATTCACAGAAGAAAGAAAGTCAAGAAATTTCTAAATTAGTCCAGTCCTGTACAAGAACCAAAAAAGGTATTTCCTAAAAATTAAAATCCATGTTAAATTTCTCGACTCATTCTGTAATAACCGACTTATATATTTATATATATATATTTGGTAGATTTGAAATGTTATATAACTTATATTAAAGATAATGTTGTTGTTATCTTTAATTTCAATTTTTTTTTATTATAAAAGGACTCCTTTTAATTTCAGTATATGTATATCCATTATAGAGTAACAAGTGAGATACAGAAACGTGTTACACAGAGCGTGATATTCTGAAGTTGAGAATGAAAGACGGTGACCGTGGAAGATTAAGGAGAAGTGATATTCCAGTAATCGATCGTCTTAATCTTGCTTTGTGTGTATATATCTATATATATATATATATATATATATATAGATAGATAGTATAACATGCTTTAATGAACTATAGTTAGAATATCTTATTATTTAAGATTAGGACGTGTATTTTATGCAATCTTCTATTTTTAATCAAATATGTTAGTTATGTTCAAATCTTGAATTAAATGTAAAAAACACACATTATATCTCCAAACTTAAATCACACATTGTCTTCAATGTACAATGAGAACAAAGAAAAGAGGAAAGAGTATACCAGTGTAGCTATGGCGAGGAATGATTGAGACGCAAGGATCCGAAGTAGATGGTACAACCCCCAAACTTGGGATCAACTATGGTCCTGAAAAGATGACACTGGAATAAACCCTCATTAAACAACCAATGGGACAAGTAATGGTGCACAATGGGCATACAAGTGCAAGTGTGAGAATAAATGAAAGAGAGTGGTAGAAATGGTCCTGAAAAATGGATACTGGACTCTCTCAAAGAAGTCACTGTAATGTACCTGATATTGAAGTTAACATGAATAGATATATATCAGAATATGATCAAAATCCGAAATATCCCCAAAAATAACAGTATAAGGTACATCACATAATACCAGGCCAACATACTAGCCGCAAAACTAGAATAAAAGTATCACAAGTAACAG